TTTTAATTAATCTTTGTTTATTTCTATTTCATTAGATTTTTTTTTTCGCTTAATATTTTTTAATTTTATTTTATTTCATTTATTTTGGATTTATATTTTATACTTTTTTAAATCGTTTTAATTTTTTTTATTTTGTGTTTTATTTAATTTATTTTATTTTATTTTAGTTTAGGTTATTTTTTGGTGTTTAAATTAATTTATTTTTTTATATATATTATCTTTATATATATATTTATTTTTTTATATTATTTCATATTATTTTATGTTATTTTGTTTTATTTTATTTAAATTTACCTAATTTTTGTTTACTTTATTTATTTTTATAATTTTAATTTGATTCATTTCTTTTTACTATAAGTCATTCTATTTCACTTAATTTTAAATTATTATTATTTTTTTTTTTTTAATTTATTTTACTTTATCCATGCAGCTCTTCTTTTCCCTTCAACGGCTAATTTATTGCGTAAAAGGACAGAATATGGTAACTCCTAAGTATGCTAAATTCATTAATAATTAACTACTGCCACCATTAGACAGTTATACAGTAACAATACCACCTCACGTTTAATTACTTTTCACAGCAACAAGTGTAAATTATTCAAAGCAACACCAAAGAAGTTGGTTGGAAGAAGGCAGGAGGGCGGAGAGCAGAAGGCATGTCAAGCATCCAAGCACCGAAATGCTCAAGAAGAGGTTCTACGTGTGCAAGCTTAAGATATCGAGCAGAGAGTGTAATAAACAAAAGAACAATAATAATAAAAACAAGAATAGGCGACAGGCAATAAATTTTCGCCATGAGTACGTGGCAATATGTTATTGTGTATTTCAAGCCAAGTACACGCAGCCACTTAAATATACATATGTGTGTACTCGTATTTACAAAGATATCAAGCTTTTGTTTTGCCAAGTCACTAATTGATTCGCCGGAAAACAAAAGAATTACAACTTTCTCACACAGTGTGAACTAAAAGTAAAACGACGATGAACGATACAAACTCAAAAGTTTATTTAAATATTTTTGATAAGGTTTGGGGTTTTTTAACTATATTTATAATTACAAATATTGAAATAATTTTATGCGAAAATTTGATTTTTTACACAAACAATTTAATTCAATAATTTTATTTTAGTTTTATCTTTATTATTAGTTTCAATTATAATTTTATTTTTGTTTCTAATCTCATTATTATGTTATTTTAATTTTAACTTTAACTNAGGTATATATGTAATTATATATTTGTAGCGAATATAAAGTAAATAAATGGCAGTAACACCGGAATTAGTGAAAGTGTAGTTCGTGATAAGCTGTGAAATGTCAGAGTTGTTATGAATTCATGAGGTATTTGTTATTGTTGTGTTGTGTTCTGTTTTTTTTATTCTTCATTTTGTATTTTTTATTTTTTTCGCTTACCTCGCACTCTGACAGCTTAACAAATGCGGCTAAAGCGCAAATTTACTGCCTGATTCGCAAAGCTGCTTAAGTATTTATGCTGCGCTGTAAAAGCATTTAAGTGTGTATACATATATACTGGCAAAAAACAGAGAAAAAACTCAGCTATTTTGCTCACAGTAAGCATTGAAGCTCACTGAAAGCCAATCTGCGAGTAAACAAATAAATGAAAGAAAATAACAAATATGTTGCACACATTTTGGGCGTTCAACAGTGTTCACATGCGATAAATAGTTGACCTACAAACTCTACTACTGATGTATCCTTGCAAACAAGATAACTATATAATAAATAAAACACGTGCTCTTGCAGCAGCGTTTAGACGAGTGAATTGATGAACCGAAAATACCTTGAAGTAGCTTTGTAGTGGTTGTTGTATGAATGTATCGTTGGATAACTAAGCGAGGTTGTAAGCAGGGCATGACCGAAACTAATCCAACTAACCGAACTAATTAAGCTCTTTATGGTTAAGCGCCTCGATGTAGGCAACACAAATGTACATATTTTGATAGTATTAATTATATACATATAAAAGCATATCAAATATTTATATATTTAGCTAAAATTTAGACATATATACACCTACATAGGCAAGAGTGCGTACATATTAAAACCACAAGGCAAACAATTAATATAATAGATCTCTCTACAATGACTTTATTGAACGTTGAGGCTTAATAAAGCACGAGCATACACAAAGCCACACTTAGTGACACATAAAGTGACAGCAAAAGGTGCGGCTTTTAGTATAAATTATAATAGAAAAGGATATATATATCCAAATTAGGGTAAGCCTAAAAACTCAGCGAAAAAATTCAAAGAATGGTAAAATTTAATTTGATTCCATAATTTTAATAGAAAATAAAAATGTGTTAAAATTAGTGGTATTACTTTATTTCACACTTTATTTTACTATATTTTTTCTTATATGATTTTATTTTATCATCTTTCATTGTATGTATTTTATTAATTTAATTTTTTTGATCCCATATCCTATTTTTTTATATATATTATAAATTATTTTATGTTATCATATTTCATATTATTTTTTTAATTTGTTTGATATATATATCTTTTTAAATTATTTTATTTTTTTTTAATTTGTTTTATTTTTAATTATTTTATTTTATTATATTTAATTTTTTTTTAAATTTATTTTATGTTTTATTTTTTTTAAGGAATTATATTTTAATTTTATTTACATTATTTTATTATATTACATTCCTTCAAATTACTTTATAATTTATTTTCTTTTAGTATATTTTTTTCATATTATTATTTTTAAATATTTAATTTAATTTAACTTTATATAACTTTATTATGTTCTATTTTGTTTTAATTTATTTTAGTTTATTTTATTTGGTTTTATTTTATTTATTTATTTTGTTTAACTTAATTTTATTACATTTTATTCTCTCTTACTTTGTTTTATATTATTTTATATTATATATTTTTTTTTATTTTATTTTACTTTATTTTGCTTCTTTCTATTTTCTTTTATTTTTTTTATATTATGATATTTTTATTATAATATTTGATTTGAAATCATTTTATTATGTTTTATTAATTACTAATTTTATTCAACCTTATTTTATTTTACGTTTTTTTTTGTATATAACCTGAATCTTTCTAATATATGCCCTAATATATATTATTTGGTTTTCGCATATGTTTTTTTTTTAAGAAACTTTTCAAAACAGTTTCAACCAAAATTGACACTTTGACAGTTCTGTATCAACTCATTTCGTGCACGAGCCGCATAAGTAGGGCAGAATTAATATTTATTAGTTGCCTGCTTTTAGGCGCTAAAGGAAAAATATGCCTTCCCGCATAGCGTACAACTAACTAATTGTGCAAAAAGTTGCAGAAATTAGCCATAAAGTGCTGCGAAAAAGTTGTGCGTAGCGGTGCAAAGCAAATGAAAGAACAAAAAAAAAAATAATAATAAAAACAAAGAAAATCATAAGTACTTAAGTACGACAGCACGTTTTCGGGCGCTTGGTGGCTAAAGTAACTTTGACAGTTTGCTGGTATTACATGGGATCTACGTTAAATGATTTATAACTTACTTTAAAAGTAAAAGTAAATAGTAGAATGAGCGAAGTTAAAAAAATAAGCAACAGGTTTTGGAGTAAAAGGAAATAAAAGGAAAAAGGAGGCAAAAAAGAGCTGTGTATGTATGTGTGTATATATTTTGAGTTCAAAATTATAAAAAAAAAATATATAAAAACAAGCACCGCAGCATGTAAAATTTACTAAAAAGTATAACAAATAAATAAAATAAGTTAACATTAATTTTTACTTAAAATATTAACAATTTCAAAATTTATTAAAAAAATTTAATTATTAAAAATTTGGTAACCCTCATTTTTTGACTTTAAATAATTCAGTTTAAGGTGTGAAATTTAGTTAAAGATTTTTATTAATTAAGCCTACACAATGTGGCTTTAAATTAAAATTAATTAAGTTTTAACCTTTTATTTTGCTACTCAAAGATAAATTTCAAATATTAAATAGAAAATTTTTTTGTACTTTTGAATAAAAAATACTAAAAGTTTAGTAAAAGAAATAGATAAAAATTTAAAGAATAAAAAGGTGTGAGCTTTCCTGAGTATTTTAAAAAATATTAATAATTTTCAGTGGAATAAATTAAAAAAATATTTAAAAAAAAAATAAAAACTTTGGTAGTAGAAATTTATGTATTTTAAATTATTTTATGCATTTGTTTATTTATTTACTAAAAACAATTTCGTATAGAAGTTTAAATTTAATAATATTGAAAAATATGAGATGTAATTTATATCACATCGATCGATCGAATGAAATTAAAAAAAAACTAAAAAAAAATTAAAAATCATTGACATCTGTATTTGTATTCTAAAAATATTTTTAGAGCTTTGCACTATTTTTTTTTTACTTTTTTTTTAATAACTTTGCAGTTTAAAATGGATGCTTGGTAAAGCCATGACAGCGTGCCAAAATAAATATATATATATAAAAATATGTACTATGTCTGTAATATCCCACATTTTTTGCACCAATAAATATGTCATGTTTCTCTATATTGTTCGTTTAACCCGTTATTCACAAATATTTTACAATTTACTCACACCAAAAGGGTGTATCTCTCAGAAAAGAGGGCGTAAATTTGTTGCCGCTTTTGTTATCACATCCGTACGCCATTGGGAATAAAAAGAGGAAGCTTCGGGAGCACAAAAGCGCTTTATTCTATTTTATAACGGTACTGCACTTAGTTACACAAATGTTTAGTAAAGAGAATTTACTCACTGAAGTGGGTAGGGAGTTGGGCGTATATAAATTGAACCGTGATTTATGATTCATAATTTTTGAAAGGTGTTTTAATAACCCTAGGGCAGATGCTTTCAAAAAATTAGATAAAAAAAAGTGTCATTTCAAAGGTAAAAAATTATTTGAAAGCCCAAAACCTCAACCCTAACAGCCGCTTCCGATAATTCTACGCTCCCTAAAGCCTTATCTTTTTACAATACTAAAGAAAAAAGTGCATATTTTCCTTGTACATAATACTTACTGCATTCCTTCCAGTGCCGGAATTTGCGATAAAAATAGCAGGAGAATATAATGAAAATCACGGAGAGCACCACCAACGCAACAACGACACCAAACCACAAATAATTGACCACCGCATGCATATCGGCATTGCCGAAGAAATCCTCCAAGAAACTGCCACCCACACTGCCACTGACACCACTCTTGATATCGGCCAAATTCAGCACCGCACTCTTGGAGATTTGTTCGCTCGTTATGCGTTCACCGCTGGCATCCACGCCAAAGGGACGCGAGCTTTCTGCCACCGCCATTGACCGACTATGCCCACCGTTCGTTGCAACAGTATCGTATGCCACATTGCCAATGCGCTGCAACAGTGTATTGAATGTGTGCAGCTTATTGATGTGCTCGAGATCGTGATGTGATGGTATCTCGAAGGTGATTTGGTTATGTGACAATTGCTCGCCGGAATGTAGCAGCCGGTCGACTACGCCATCTGGCGTGACTGCTGCCAAATTGAGGAGAGGGCGCTCCGTGTAGTCCGCGACGTTGGTGGTGATGAAGTCGTCGGCGTCAGCGTATGTTGTTTGCGGTGCATAAGTTGTGCTGTCGTAGAGATAATCCTTTACTGTGATTGCTGCCATTTTGCACTTTTTTTTAAGTAAAATTGGTTTTATTTTTCTTATAAATTATTATTATTTTTTTTTAAGATTGTAATATTTTCCTTTTCACGACACAAATATTTTTGTTATTTTTTTGTGCTTTTTTGTTACATACACAAGGCTTTGCTTTGTTTATGTTTTTCTTCACCTCACATTCACGTGCCAACACTCGTAATCACTGTGCGTGTGTCTCGTTGAAATTACAAACCCAACAACGCGTTTATTTTAATATGTCTATACGCGTTGCCCGTCCAAGTCGAACTGAATTTTGTGCCAACGCATGCAACAGAAGTCACTTGCCACCAGAAAAGCCACCAGACTGCCGCGCGCTCAGTAATACATATTGAGGGTAGATTTTGCCAGCCAAGTTGTTTGTGGAGTCACTGCAAAAGGGAAATTTCTTTCATTGAATTCGCTCTTCCGTGCGCCGATCTCTCTCTCTCTCTCTCGGGTTTTACATGCAACCGATATCCGCACACGTTCGCCTCTTGCCTTTCTGGTTCATATTCGCCATAAGGCAATAAGGCAGTGTTTCACTCAACATCTAACTGATCTGCCTGATTCTGAAGTGTTCTGCTGTTACTCGCAACAACGTCCAATCTGCAACATCACACCAATCTATCGCATTTGCACCTACTGAGTGTACAATTTCTGCAGCTCTGTTGGTTGAGTAGGTGTTAGTTTGCGAAAATAACTAAATAATGGTCAGAAGGAGTTATTGAGACGAGTAGCATAGTTTATGTATGTACATACATATGTACATATATACGTAGCAATCGGCAGGATATACCACTGACCTAATTTCTTTGTAAATATATGTATGAGCGTTAGGACGCTGAGGTATTGCTTGACTGTTGTTTTTTTGTTGCTTTTTGTGGCAGAAAGTAAGCTGTCGTTATTTGCAGTTGTGTCCATAGAAGGAAATGGAGAAGATTTAAAAGTGAAAAAAAAGAAATGCAAATAATTTCTATGAAAGCTCCTTGGACTGAATTATGCAACTCAAAATAGTAATAATCGTTGAAACATCTTCATCGGAGAATATAACTATTGATACATACATACATATATAATATCAAATGCATTAGAAACTTGGTTGTTGCACGTAATGAAAACCGGCCTCGGTGCAAATTTTCAGATAGTAGCAAGTACAGAGTCATTTTACACCAATGGAAGAAAGCGTTTTACTTTCAAAGAAAAATTAATCCGGGAACTATTGGCGATAGCAAAAAATGCGTTTCAGAAGTGTTTCGAGGACAGGAAAAAACGCTGGCCTAAGTCTATTTTACATGAGAGGGACTACTTTGAAGGGGACAAGACAGTTTTTGATGAATAAATAAATACTTTTTGAAAAAATTGAAAACAACGGTTATTTTCTGATCACACTTCGTATAGTTTTTTGTACGTCTTGAACATCAAATTTACATAAATATCAAAATTATAAGCTTTATTGCGAAAAAGTGCTTACAGATATACAATATTATTCAAAGTATTGTCCTTCGCTAGCGACAACTTTCTCCTCTTTTCGGTAATTTTCGGATCCCGGCTCGAAAAAAGGAGTCCTCTTTGGACGCTATCCATGAAGCAATCCATTTTTCCTATTCTTCGAAGGATTGAAAATGTTAATCTGCCAGGCCGTGTGCAATCGAACGGAATAGGTGGAAGTCAGAAGAGGCGACATTTGGGGAATACGGCGGGTGGGGGAAGACTTCCCAATTCAGCGTTTCCAGGTACTTTTTGACCACTTTTGCGACGTGAGGCCGAGCATTGTCGTGTTGGGGGATGACTTTGTCATGTCGCTCTTGATATTGTGGCCGCTTTTTTTTTAGCGTGCGACTAAGACGCATCAGTTGCCTTCGGTAGCGATCTCCTGTGATGGTTTCACCCGGTTTCAAGAGCTCGTAGTAAATCACACCGAGCTGATCCCATCATAACCTTGGCGCCGTGAATATTCGTTGAAACCACTCCCGAGACGTTCTTTCACTCAGAGCAGCATCACCGTAAGTTTCTAAAGCATTTGATGCGCTTCAGCTGCATTTTTTTTCGAATTGTTACAGAAAAGTAAAACTTCCCGCAAATGGCAAGAATTAGGCACATAAACGGACATTTTCGGTACACATCTAAAAAAAAAATTTACAAGAGCAAAAAATTTCAGTTCTGATCCATTTCTTGAAATATCTAACCGTTTAGACCATTCAAGAAGTTCAACAAATATTTCAAAATTAAAACTGGCCTTTACCAAGTGTTAGCGATACAAATGTACAGCAGTTAAATTTTATAATAAAGTATAACATTTTTACTATTGGAGTAGCTTTTCAAAAGACCGCAGATGAATTCAGGAATCAACTCTCTGCATTACCTACATTGTTCACATTCGTATAAGCACATTTGTACACTCCACGTCGTATTAAAAAATGGGTGAAACCGGTTCAAGTTTACGCCGACCACCAAAATATCGGATAATACAACAGAATAAAAAATTTCGGTAGAACGTGGTCCATACATTTTTTTTTATTAAATATTATACGAGTAGTATCGCATTGGATGACTGTTCTTCGACTAATATGAAGAGCAGTTGAACGCGGACTCAATTTTAATTTCCGTTTTTTCCATGAAAGAGAATATTTACTTTCCACTTACTGCTTGGCTCAAGATCTACCATAGTATTTATGGTAGGAAATATCAACTCAGCCGATGGTATTACTAACTGGAGATAAAATCACCTTTTTGTATTTTGGAAAACCCTCAAGACATATACCACAAGAACTAAAACACTACTTTTATTGGTCTAACCAAAATGACTGACATATGGCTTGAGATAAATATACCTACCATAAAGCAGATCTTATTTTTTCGACCGATATGTGGACTTAATGTAAATATCAGCCGAGTAACTAAAGAACTTAGTCTTCCTGGCTTAGTCTGCTAATAACTACATCTAAGCAGCAGAGTATTCTTACTTTTCCATTAAAACATCAAAATCGTGTTTCAAACGTGACCACGTTTCACGCTTTAAGAGGAGAAGAGGAGATCACATAGTTGTCCAACTCAACTACTCAAGCAATTGGAACAAGTTTTAGAAATCTGGGGAGACTGGATCGGTTGCAGATTCTGTAGGGCTAGCGCTTCATCGTTTTGCTCGTTCCACCGCAAATATCGGTCCGGTAAGTGAAAGTGTAGTCGACGACACGAATGTGTATATTTCTCGACATTCTCAACAGCTGGGACTTTCTTAAGACACAATATGGCGTATACATCCATATTAAGTCCGGCAACAATTAGAGGCAGCCTACTCAACATAACACTTACATTAGCATGGCTTTCGTAATGTGTACATCATCACCTTTTAACGCCATAAACACTCGAATAAGCAATGGCCTCAACTAAAAGCGGCCCTGAACGCGAACTGTCCCAGAAGCACTGGGTCTGTCAACCATTCAGATCCAGTGTCCTAGAAGCACTGGATCTATCAACCATATAGTGCTACTGTCGTACATTGAGAAATCCTCATTACCCCGAGGTTGAAGATGTGGCTACTTGAGTAGTCGTCAGTCATCGGTAGAATTTCGAGGTCAAACATCCGAACAAGTGGTTCCGCAGAGTGGTCTCCGTTCCTCACTACCGTTTAACTTTTATATCTCGAAGCTATCTCCCCCACCGGAAGAGGCTTTTTAGGTCTCATATACCGATAATTGCTCGATATTGACGTCTGGTCAGAATATTGATGACTCAATGCTCGAACTGCTCTCTCGACGACCTTTCCCACTTTTTTGCAGTAAGACAATTACGATTACAACCAGCAAAACCCTTTGGCTACTCCACACCAGCTAAACGGAGGATTACAGGCTTGAACTCGATGTGAAAGGCGATGGCGTAAAATATCCGACCTTGAACAACCCAAAGTTACTGGCAGTGACATTCGACAACTTGCACTCCTTCAGTCCGCACACGACTGCACCTCCATACAAGAAACATTCTGATGTGTCCAGAGCAACACTTTTGCAGCGAAGCATATACGAGTATGCTGTGCAAGGAATTTCTGCTGGGATGCTACCGTAGGACTGGGGAATGCAACATTGCAACAATTAGAATAAACTGAAAATAAATGAGTAATAAGAGCAATTGCGAAAAATGGAAATGGATCGTATGAACAAATTGATTATCTGCGAAAAGTAGAAATGCGATGAAATTATTAAGTCTTGTGTCTTTTGTGGAATCTCGGCAAATGTAAAAATCGCTGAATATTTAATTTACACCTCAATGAGAAGAGTGACATAAATTTATTTCACACTCAACTGGTATTGCACTTGCAAAGACGTCCTTCATGCAAAATTATTACATATGTACATATATTAAAAATAATTAAATAATTTTCAACATAAATAAGTTACACGGCAAGTAACATAGCAAATAACAAGGAAAATCTACTACATTATTTACAAATCACTCAAACTACAATTAACTCAATATTAAGTTATGAGTATTTGAGTAGATTGTTGAAAATGAGTTTCCACTCTATGCATTGCTGCTTTAGCAACGGCACGCGGTTTACTTACTCAAAAAGAAGGTGAACTCAAGAGCACAGAGAGAAAATTTCCCGTTTCTAGCGCTCTTAGGATTTTTTTTTTTTTCGTACAGGAGTCAAAGCAGAAACATATGGTTTCATCCAAATTAAGCCACGAAACAGTTGCACGTTTGCCTCTTGAGGTTAAAGGTTGTTCAGTGGCTGGTTGATAAATTTTATTTGCGTTGTGGAGTTAAGGGAAAAATACGTAATTTTATATTATATCAGGAAATTAATCGTAACAAGAGACAAATAATGAATTTAAAATAGAAAAAGTTTTGTAGATTGAAATTGAAATATTTTCACCATATTATATAATTCAATATTTTTTTTTTTATATATTTTTATATTTAATACCAATTCTCTTTTCATACATATGCGAGTATGTAAATTCATTATTCTGCATTTATATATTATTTTTATTTTTATTTTAATTTTAAATGTATTTGTAAATACTTCTATTAGCCTGTGTACATATGTATGTATG